AAGAAGAAGAAGAAGAAGAAGAAGAAGAAGAAGAAGAAGAAGAAGAAGAAGAAGAAGAAGAAGAAGAAGAAGAAGAAAAGAAGGAAGGAAGGAAAAAAGAAAGGAAGGAAGGAAGGATGGGTAGAAGGAAGGAAGGAAGAAAAAACAAGCAAGCACGCATGCTTGGGTTGATGCTCATTGGTAGACCCAGCATTTAGCAGTACAAAGACATGAATTCAGTCCCTAGCACCAATACTACCCCTACCAACAACAAAACATTCTAACTGATTCAGTTTTCTAGTAATAGCTGTCTTTCTGGCTAAGAGAAATCCACCTTTTTTGCTGTGTCCTTACATGAGAAACACATACACAAACACCCATTATCTGTGAAGCAAGCTCTCTGGTGTTTCTACCTAAGAGAGATACACTCCCAAAGCAGGCATAGTGGCATATGCCTGTAATCCCAGTGCTCTGGGAACCTGAGGTAGAAGGATCAGAAATCAGAGCCCATGCTAGGCAACTCAGTGATTTAAGGAAGTTACACCTCAAAATAAAAAATTAAGCCAAGCCTGGTGGCAAACACCTATAATCCCAGTACTTGAAAGGCTGAGGCAGGAGAATTGCTGCAAGTTTGAGGCCAGCCTAGGCTACAAAGTGAATTCAAGGCCAGCCTGAACTGCATAGAAAGACCCTGTCTCAAAAACCTAAATAAACAAATTAATTAATTAATAAAATACTGAGGATGTAGCTCAGTGCAAAAGCTTTGGGTTCAATCCCTAATACCATGAAGAAAGAAAAAAAACAAAGAAAGAAAAAGAAGGAAGGATAGATAAAAGAAAGAAAGAAAGAAAGAAAGAAAGAAAGAAGAAAAGAGTAGAGAGGAAGAAAGGAACAAAGGAAAAAGGAAGGAGAAGGAAGGAAGGAAGGAAGGAAGAAAGGAAGGAAGGAAGGAAGGAAGGAAGGAAGGAAGGAAGGAAGGAAGGAAGAAAAGAGAAGAGAGACAATCCCACATCAGATGTGTTAAGACATATCTAGATGTTCCCCCAAAGCCTAACCCATTATAGGTAAGGGCTTTTGCAAGGTGACTGGATCATGGGGGTGTGATACTCATCAGTGCATTAGTCCACTGAAGAGTTTATAGCCAAATGTGATATTTGGAGGTAGAGCCTGGCTTCAGGAGATGGGTCACTGTGGGAGTGGCCTGGAAAGGTCTATCTCCATTCCTCTTCCCCTCATCTCATCCTGCTTTCTGTCACCATGGCATGAATTCTTTCTTCTCTGCTATTCCCCTCTGCCATTCTGGCCTGCCTTGGAGCCAGCCAACTGTGGACAGAAACCTCTACAACTGAGATAAAATAAACCTTTCTTCTTTAGAGTTGTGGGTGTCAGGTATTGTGTCTTGTGAGGAGAAAGTGACTAAGACAGATGGCACTAATCCATCATGGGGACCCCACTCTCATTACTTCCCAATGCCCCAAGTCCAAGTTCTATCATATGGAAATTGGGGCTTTAACACATGAATTTTTCTTCAGTGTATAGCACAAGTGATCACACAGCATCACAACAGTAGGAAAACCTGATATTATGTGCCTTCTGATGTTGTGCAATCAAAAAATACAACATATGTTCTGGCTTAAATATTTAATTTTTCTGCACTAATGAGGAAACAATCAAACACATCCTGAATAGGGGATGGTCTACAAGAAAGCTGTCCCACCTATTCAGATAGTATAATTAAACTTGTTTAATTGGTCAGAGAACTGTTCTAAAATTTAAAAGGTAGTAAAGAGTAACACAAATATTTTCCGCTGAACAAAATTTTATTGAGTGTTGATTTCCAAAGCAAGTTTTTGTTTGGTCATGTAGCCTGGGTGGCATTTTTGGTTAAAGATGTCAGTGCTTGCTGAAGCTCTGAGTAGATAGCAGTAAATAAATTCTTATCTTAATAGGGTTGCTGGACTCATTGGAAAAGTGAGCAGTGCAATATCTTTGAAGATCCAGATTCAAGAAGAGTTATCAAGTACTGTGCCCAATCTCTTGGATGAGAAGTGGAGAACTTGGCTCCCCTTTAAGAAGGTGCTGGATATGGAAGAGGTTCCTGCTGGTGCAAACTGAACTCAACAGGTTCGGTACTTTCAACACATGTGAGAAATCTTAGCCATGACCTTGTTTTAAGAACACATTAGGTTCTGTTTTCCTTGGACATGGATGGAGTCTAGATCTTTGATTCCAAAACCAAATTTGGACTCTTGATTCTGGGACCCCTATTTCCTTAGCAACTTGCTGTTCAGAGTGAATCCTGGGTAGGAGTTGCTCAGAAATAAGGATGTGTAACTGAGTGGGGCTGTAGATGATGTGACCCCACCTGGCTTCCCAGCTTTGTTCTTAAAGGTGATCGCATCCATGCTCATGGCTTGAATCTGAAGCCTCCTTACATTCTGGTCTGTTCTTAAGTTGGTACCTAGCTCTTCAATCCTGAAAACAAATCTGGATTTTCCACTCTTCAGTGTTGATTTCCAAAGCAAGTTTTTGTTTGGTCATGTAGCCTAGGTGGCATTTTTGGTTAAAGGTGTCAGTGAAGATTCTCCAGTGTGCTTCTGTAATTTGGTATAGCTGTGCCTATAATTTGTTTGTGCAGACTCCTTGTACAGATACTAGATGTCTGCAAACAGAATTAAGCTGAGCATAGTGGAGCTAGCACTCTGGGGGCTGAGACAGGAAAATCACAAATTTCATCTATGCCACTGAATGATTCGGTGAGAGCTGTCCAAAGAGTTACCATGTGGAAAAGCATCCTGATGTCCAAGCAGCATTCAGGAGATCCCCAAATACAAACTGTGAAGCTCAAAGAAGAATGCAAATATAAAAGATATTTAGGGGACAACTGGAGAAATTTAAATATATACTTTATTAGATAATAGAATAGTATCATTTTCTTAGATATGATAAAGCAACGCAGTTGTAGGAAAGTATCCTTATTCTGAAAGGTGTGCTGAATTATTTAAGGATAAAGTGACATAATATCTGCAAATTACTTCTGAAAGACTCAGTAAAAAGTTAATGAAAAAACCGCTTGAATGAAGCTGAAGATAGAATTTCAGATCTTGAAGACAGCATGGCAGCTAGCAATTGTGAAAGAAAGGACCTCTTAAAATACACAAGGAACTAGGAAAAATCAACTCAACAGCTGCAAGATGAGGCAAAGAGGAATAATGTAAGACTACTAGGAGTCAATGAAACAGCAGGAAGCAACACAAATGGCATGATAAGAATATTTGCAGAAATAATAGTAGAAAATTTCCTAAACATGGAAACAGAATCTGATATACAGGTAAATGAGGCATATAGAACTTCAACTAGTCATAACCAAAATAAAACTACACCCAGACATATAATAATCAAGATCCCAGATCTCCAGCAAAAGAACAGAATATTAAAAGCTGCTAAAGAAAAGAAACAGATCACCTATAAAGGAAAGCCCATCAGAATCATGGCAGACTTCTCAACACAAACCATCCAATCAAGAAGAGTGCGGAGTGAAGTATTACAGGTCCTGAGACAAAACAGCTTCCAACCCAGACTGATGTACCCTGGCAAACTATCCTTCAAATTCAACAGAGAAATAAAATATTTCCGCGACAAAGAACAATGGAAGAACTTCATGAGTGCCAAACCATCCTTACAAAGAGTACTAAATGATATTCTAGACAGAGAAAAAAATGACCACAATTTCAAGAACAACAATAGAAAGGAACCCTCAAGCAGAGCAAGCAATTAAACAGGTACAAAAAGTAGGAAACCAACAGCAAGTAAATAATATGACAATGATAAGCCAACACATATCGGTTATAACCATAAATGTAAATGGCCTTAATCCACCAGTCAAAAGAAACAGACTGGCAGAGTGGATTAAGAAACAAAATCCAACAATATGCTGTATACAGGAAACACATTTTACTCAAAATGAAATCTCTAGACTGAAAGTCAAAGGATCGAAAACAATCCTCCATGCAACAGGAACCCAGAAAAAAAGCAGGTGTAGCTATTATGTTTGCAGACAATGTAAACTTCAAACCAAGAACAATCATAAGAGATAAAGAAGATCACTACATACTTGTCAGGGGAAAACTGCAAGACGAAGAGATAATAATCATAAATATGTACGTACCAAATATCAGAGAACCAAACTATATAAGACAAATCTTAACAGACATGAAAACCCAAATAATTAATTTCTTTTGTTCTTTAGAAAAGATTTTAATTTTTTTGACACACATGTATAATGATATTTGCTCACTGGACAGAGCAATTAGAGACATATCAGAAATGGATCACAATTTACATGTTACAATTCCATAGACGTGAAGGTCTCATGTGTCCTCAGTTATCTGTGTGAGCACTTACTAAACAGCACAGCAACTTGGCTAAACTGGCAAGTTTACCTCTTATTTTAAAGAGCAGCAGTGATTTAGATTAGTAAAAAACCAAGGCACAGACCACTGCTGAAACGTACTATAATAAAAATACCTTATCATCAGCACTCAGGAATGAAGCACTCTACCTAAATGTTCTTTAGTCATATGGCATTTAGCCCTCTAAAGTCTAAACTGCTACCTTAACTACTGGTGATAGAATAATGTGTAACATGCGTTCTTAAGTTTTCTTTCTTTCTTTATTTGCCTTTTTAAACTTTAAAATAGACCATGCAGATTATAAGAACATTCTTTCATCCTTGTTAGGAACACAATATCCTAAAAGGTTTACCAGGGTGGGTATTTGACCTACTGTGGATAGCATAATATGGCTATTATTTTTAAAATTATCAGGCTGGGGATATAGCTCAGTGGCACAGCACCTGCCTCACAAGCATGAGGTCATGAGTTCAATGCCTGGTACCAAAAATAAGGGGGAAAAATAAAATTATCAGCTCATTTATTTACCACATTTACCTGTCAGTTATTATTGTTTGCTTTCATTAAATGTGTTTTCTGTACCTTCCAACCTCTTCTAATATAAACGTTAGGGAAGAGCAATGTAACCACATAAACTTCTGATAAAGTAATAGTGCCCATTCTTTTCACTGGCAAAGGCTAAAGGAGAGTTATACATTGAGATGGCAAGAATCTGATGAAGCAATCTGGAAATTTGTGCTCCCAGACAGCAGTCAGGTTACTATCACAGCTGTCCTTGAGTTTGGAGGAGCCCTCTGCTCTAGGCTGGGAAAACAGAAAATGAAGGAATAACATTAGATTAGTGGGTAGCTAATCTTGCAGTAAATTACAGGACCTCTGGAGCATGAATATTTGAAATTTGATACATTTATAAATTCTTAAGCTTTTTTTTTTTGGTCTTTTTTGAGACAGGGTCTCACTATGCAGTACAGGCTGGACTTGAGCTCACTTTGCAGCCCAGGCTGGTCTCAACCTTGCAATGATCCTCCTGCCTCAGCCTCCCGAGTGCTGGAATTATAGGCGTGCACCACCACACCTGGCTATTAATTCTTTATACACAAGGGTTTGAGCTTGCATGTTTTCCTCTATCTTTATTTCTCAGTCATAGCTGAGGTACATGATCTCTGAGAAAAGTGCTACTACACTATTACCTCATTAATTGTATACAATAATATATATTATATATGTAATCTCCCCCTGAATAACAAGTAGTATGTATATGTTTTATTTATTTTGTGATACTGAGGAATGAATCCAAGGTCTCATGTATGCTAGATAAGCACTCTACCACTGAGCTACTTAACCAGCACTTTTAATTTTATTTCTGAGACAGAGTCTCACTAAATTGCCTAGGCTCATCTCAAACTTGTGGTCCTCCTGCTCTGGCCTGAAAGTACCTGGGATTACACGTATGTGCCCAATGCTGGTGTAATGAAAGTATTTTTACAATTACTTTCTTCCAAAAGAAGGTATAATAATCTCATTTGCTTTATTGAGAAAAAACAAGGGCTGGGGATGTGGCTCAGTGGTAGAGTTCTTGCCTTATGTGTGCAGGCCCTGGGGAAAACTCAAATAATTAATAACACTATTGTAATAGGGGACCTCAATACCACTTTGACACAAAGAGATAGGTCAACTAGACAAATAAACAGCAAAGAAATAACAGATCTGAACCAAATCTGCAAACAAATGGACTTAGCAGATGTATACAGAGTGTTCCACCCCACAACATCAGAATATAAATTTTTCTCAGCTGCACATGGGATTTTCTCTAAAATAGACCACATTCCAGCCCATAGAGCACACTTACCTAAATGCAAAAGAATTGAAATTATCCCATGCATATTAACTGACCACAGTGCAATGAAATTGGAAATTAATGACAAAAGGAACTCCAAAAACTCCATAAACACTTGGAAATTACACAATAACCTCCTGAACAACCAATGGGTCACAGAAGAAATTAAAGAAGAAATTTAAAAATACCTACAAACAAACAAAAATGTAAATACAACTTACTAGAATCTGTGGGATGCAGTGAAAGCAGTCCTCAGAGGGAATATTATAGCAGTGAACTCACACATCAGGTAAACAGAAAGAGAACAAATAAATAGCCTAATGCTACACCTCAAACTTTTAGAAAAAGAAGAACAAGTCAAGCCCAAGGCCCAAAGAAGGAAGGAGATTATAAAGATCAGGGCAGAAATTAATGCAATTGAAATGAAGAAAACCCTACAAAAAATAAATGAATCAAAGAATTGGTTCTTTGAAAAAAATGAATAAAATTGACAAATCCCTAGCCAACCTTACCAAAAAAAGAAAAGAACTCAAATTCATGCAATAAGGAATAACAAGGATGATATTACTACAGATCCTACAGAAATTCAGAAGATCATTAATACCTACTTTGAAAATCTTTATGCCCATAGGATAGAAAACTCAGAAGAAATGGACAGATTCCTAGAGATATATGAATTACCAAGGTCGAATCAAGAAAATATAAAAATCCTGAACAACCAAATATCAATTAATCAGATTGAAAATGTGATTAAAAACTTACCAACAAAGAAAAGCCCAGGCCCTGATGGATTCACAGCAGAATTTTACAAGAAATTCAGAGATGATTTAATACCAACCCTCCTCAAACTTGTCAATGAAATTGAAAAGGAAGCAATTCTCCCTAACACATTTCTGGAGACAAGTATTATACTGATACCAAAACCAGAGAAAGACCCACCCAAGAAAGAGAACTACAGACCAAACTCCCTAATGAATATAGATGCAAAGATACTCAATAAAATACTAGCAAATAGAATGCAGCAAATCATCAAGAAAATCATACAACATGACCAAGTAGGATTCATTCCAGGAATGCAAGGGTGGTTCAATATTTGCAAATCAATAAATATTATACACCATATCAATAGAGCCAAAGAATCACATGATCATCTCAATAGATGAATAAAAAGCTTTCAACGAAGTCCAACATGCATTCATAATAAAAACTGTACAGAAAATAGGAATAGATGGTTTTACCTCAATCTGATCAAAGCCATCTATGACAAACCAACAGCCAATATCATACTAAATGAAAAAAAACTGAAACCTTTTACTTTAAAATCAGGAACAAGACAAGGCTGTCCACTGTCACCATTCCTATTCAACATAGTTCTGGAAGCATTAGCCAGAGCAGCTAGACAAGTGAGAGAAATAAAGGGAATAAGGATAGGAAAGGAAGAAGTAAAATTATCACTATTTGCAGATGACATGATACTTTACATGGAAGACCCCAAAAACTCCACAAGAAGACTCCTTGAATTAATGAATAAATTGAACAGTGTAG